TGCAGTGTTGTGAAAAACTTCTTTCGGATTCATTTGAGACATATTAAACTTTTTAAAGATCTGTAAATCCTGAGTTTGAGCGCAAATTCGACGTTCAAAACTCCTACTTTGGGGGTGAATACGTTTTCAGAATACAGTAATTAAATTAGATGGTTAGGAACATATTTCTGAAAAGAAATTTTTCAATAAATCAACGCTAGGATCAATTATTTCGTTGTCATCATATTATTGAATTTCTTATTTCCTTTGAATTTATTCGCAGATTTCTTCAAATTCTTCAAATGTCGTCTTTTCAATAATAATGTGCAGAAAATCTTTGTGAATAATGAGAAACCAGTATAATGAGAAAATAGAAACTAATAATTGAAAAGATTACTTATTTATGATGATAAGATTAATTTTTATTTCTCAACAAGTTTCTATATACAAGTCTGTAGTTTATTGTAGACTTAAAAAAAACTTTTTCTGAATTTGTATCCACCCCCAAAGTAGGAGTTTTGAACGTCAAATTTGCGCTCAAACTCAGGATTTACAGATCTGTATAAAGTTGAATATGTCTCAAATAAATCCGAAATAAGTTTTCCACAACACTGCATACTCAGTTCAACTACCTTACATAGCCGGTCACTCTCTTTAAGGTGTTGTGACACTTCATAGTCGACCTAGTCTAAATTGACCTTTTATAACAATCTGGTTGTATGTAAAACATCTAATATGAATATTTAAAAAAAAAGTTTAAAATATTGGCCTCAGTTTACAAAGAAAAAGAGATTTTGAAGCAAAGACTTAATTCCTTTAAATAACATTTTGATTCCATTTTAAAATTTAATTTTGAAACTTTCATAAAAAATCATTCATCTACAGGAAAATCTATTTGAAAGAGAAAAAAGTAAATGAATTTGTGATTGTTAAAATATTTTTCTATCGTTTATTATTTGGGGGAAATAATGTTATCTAAATCTAAACCTCATAGTTTATCTTTTAACGCACTTTTTATAAATGATTATCTTATATAAACAATTATTTAAACGTTTGCGCGCATTTCTTTAAAATAAAATATTTTAGATTGTTTTTAGTATTTTATAAAATACATTTATATGTTATGTTAACTGTATTGCATGTAATTACATTTAATATGTTATGTAAACTGTATCTGATGTAAATACATTCAATGTTATGTAAACTGTATTGGATGTAAATACATTTAGTATGTTATGTAAACTGTATTGCATGTAAATACATTTAATATGTTATGTAAACTATATTGCATGTAAATACATTTTTTATGTTATGTAAACTGTATTGGATGTAAATACATTTAGTATGTTATGTAAACTGTATTGCATGTAAATACATTTAATATGCTATGTAAACTATATTGCATGTAAATACATTTTTTATGTTATGTAAACTGTATTGCATGTGTATACATTTAATATGTTATGTAAACTGTATTGCATGTAAATACATTTATTATGTTATGTAAACTGTATTGCATGTAAATACATTTATTATGTTATGTAAACTGCATTGCTCATTAGAAAACTTTAAAGTTTAAAAGTAGAAAAAATACATTTTTTCCAATCCGGACCCCCACTTGTTATTGTTCACATATTCACCCGGCCTTCCCCCACCCCCTAATTATTGATGCTTTCAATCATAAATAAAGAGTAAAAACGTTTTGAATTTCGTAAATTTTTCTTATACTTGTATGCGTAGAAACTAAAAAGTAGCTATTATAGGTCATAAAGTCGTAACATAAATTTGACCTTCTCTTACTCTCTTGTTTGCAGTACACCTTTTTCTACCACGTACTTTTATATTTCATTATTCTACATTGCATCAAACCCATTTACATTGAATAAATAAGCTCCAATATTATTAGTGACGTCATCAATCGATATATTGGGGGAGGGGAGGATTGTTCTGTTTTCTGCTTTCCCCCGATACACCGTAAACAGTATTATATAGTGGAGAAAGTATGAGAAAGCCCTGTGTAGTGTATACTTTGTTCCCTTCGTACTGCAGAATATTGACAGTGATGTAAACTGTAGTATATAGATATATACAGTTAGTTTACCCACATCATTTAAACATATGTGAAACTACTCAGTTAACTTGTATATTTTACAGGCAGCACTTTCAGACGCATGCGCATCAAGTTTATCGGCCCTCCCTAAAAAAGTGCAAACATGCTCGAAAAAGTTTCTCTTGGTGCACTGGCCTTGTCTAATATGGTTGGAGTAACACTTTCACGGGTAAACATATCTATTCAAGATTATTTGAACTGGAGGACTAGTTTTACTGGATTGATACTTACTTGACGAATACAGAGAGTGTTGTAACTGAATTGATACTTACATGACGAATACAGAGAGTGTTGTATCTGGATTAATACTTACTTGACGAATACAGATAGTGTTGTATCTGGATTAATACTTACTTGATCAATACAGAGAGTGTTGTATCTGGATTGATATTTACTTGACGAATACAGAGAGTGCTGTATCTGGATTGATACTTACTTGACTAATACAGAGAGTGTTGTATCTGGATTGATACTTACTTGACGAATAGAGAGAGTGTTGTCTCTGGATTGATACTTACTTGAAGAATAGAGAGAGTGTTGTATCTGGATTGACACTTACTTGATGAATACAGAGAGTGTTGTATCTGGATTGATACTTACTTGACGAATACAGAGAGAGTTGTATATGAATTGATACTTACTTGACGAATAGAGAGAGTGTTGTTTCTGGATTGATACTTACTTGATGAATAGAGACAGTGTTGTATCTGGATTGATACTTACTTGACGAATACAGAAATTGTTGTATCTGGATTATTACTTACTTGACGAATACAGAGAGTGTTGTATCTGGATTGATACTTACTTGATGAATACAGAGAGTGTTGTATCTGGATTGATATTTACTTGACGAATACAGAGAGTGTTGTATCTGGATTGATACTTACTTGACAAATAGAGAGAGTGTTGTTTCTGGATTGATACTTACTTGATGAATAGAGAGAGTGTTGTTTCTGGATTGATACTTACTTGACGAATACAGAGAGTCTTGTAACTGGATTGATACTTACTTGACGAATACAGAGAGTGTTGTATCTGGATTAATACTTACTTGACGAATACAGAGAGTGTTGTATCTGGATTAATACTTACTTGATGAATACAGAGAGTGTTGTATCTGGATTGATATTTACTTGACGAATACAGAGAGTGCTGTATCTGGATTGATACTTACTTGACGGATACAGAGAGTGTTGTATCTGGATTGATACTTACTTGACGAATAGAGAGAGTGTTGTTTCTGGATTGATACTTACTTGACGAATAGAGAGAGTGTTGTATCTGGATTGATACTTACTTGATGAATACAGAGAGTGTTGTATCTGGATTGATACTTACTTGAGGAATATATAGAGTGTTGTTTCTGGATTGATACTTACTTGAGAATACAGAGGTTGTATCTTTCTTCTCTACAAGAGTGTTTGAACGTAATGAAACAAAGATCCATGTCCAACTATTCTATATTTTGGGTTTTATGGCACGTGTTAAATTAATAAACATGGTTAGGGTACAGACAAAGTTATGCGTAATATATATAGGTATGTTCAGGTTTACAAATATGGGGTTTACTACTATACTTATTACAGGCAAATCTACGATCAAGAATAACTGAGATAACTTAATTTTCTAAATAAAAATTGATTATGTTAACCGAGCTTGCCACATATATTTAAATAGAAACTGACTCGAAATACATGACCAGTCCCTGAAACACAAAAGTCTTGAAAAATAAGCCAAAAAATAGAAATAAAATAAAACTAAAATAATTAAACTAACTCTTATTTTTAAAATTATACTTTTTGATCGAAAATTGTTCATAGTTTGAAATATCTAGAGTCCACGACATCAAATTTTTTACACTCCTTATCCTGATTGGGCTAATTTTGTCTAATATAAATTAGGGGGAGGGGGGGGGATGTTTTCCACCTTCCCTATGATTTTGCCCTTAGAGTTGAGATAGGGGAGTGCGATTCATGTCACTAGTTCAACTTGTCACTTTTAAACATTAAAAATAATATGTGGACTTTTGACAAAAAAAAAAATATTTTACAAAAGGTTTCCTAATTTTTCTCAGAAGAAGGTTTTTTCTTTCGAAATATGTTTTCAAAATAAATAGATTCCCCGCCGAAGATTGTTTAAACAACACTGTAAATTCTTCAGAAAGAATCCTCACAACTCTTCTTGATTTCAATTTTGGAAAAATAAAAAAATAAATAAGATAAAGAAATTGATTTCTCTCAACGTACTCTAATTTACTAATCCTTATATTTTGAAATTTCAAACTATGGATTCTATTAGATCAAACTATATGAGTTTGAAATATCAATGGTTTACACCATAAATTTATGTTTGTGGCAAATACTCAATTTTTTATCCAAACATCTTAACCCCGCCGAAGATTGTTTAAACAACACTGTAAATTCTTCAGAAAGAATCCTCATAACTCTTCTTGATTTCAATTTTGGAAAAATAAAAAAATAAATAAGATAATAAATAACGTACTCTAATTTACTAATTCCTATATTTTGAAATTTCAAACTATGGATTCTATTAGATCAAACTATATAAGTTTGAAATATCAATGGTTTACACCATAAATTTATGTTTGTGGCAAATACTCAATTTTTTATCCAAACATCTTAATACGACGATTAAAATATCTGCCTTAAAAAACTTATTTAAAACAGTTTAATTAGAAATCGGAAGATGATAATTAGCATGTTTTGTTGAAATGTTTTCCGCATCTTTTTAATTAATATTTTATCGTATATTGTTTCTCAAAATTGTTCTGATTAATAAGCATGAGACTATTTAGACATTGAACCCCCCCCCCCCCCATTCCTTCAAAAGCAATAATGTAATCTATTACTTTTTCACCTCCTTAAAAATATTTGTTAGTTAATTTTCTTTTTTTTTAGGAATTTTTCGAATGCCCTGGTCCTGACGATCCCCCGGAGTATACATTGTGCTGCGAGGAAAAGTGAGTTGAAGGGACTGTCAATGTAAAAAAATCGTGAATTTGACCACCATTTTGCTTAAAAGTTATCCAGTTCCCTTGTTGAATAACTTGCAAGAAAAAGACGATTATTCCATGAATATTTATTAGGTTCAAACTAGACAGTAACTGAAATGAAAAAGTTGAATTTTTTCACGATATTTTTATCCTAGATTTTGCTAAGTTCAGAACTGCAGGTAGTTAAAGTCAAAAATTTTAATTTTATAGGGATTCGTTATTATTTATTAAACAAAAAAATAATTTTTGTATTTTAAGTCCCCGAAAAAATAAAAGCTCATACAATTTAAAAAAAAAATATATAAAATATCAAACGTCGACTGTATTCCACGGCTTGGGATACATATTTTAAATAGTTTTTTTTTCGGTCTTACTTTTGATCCATTAATTTTTTTAAATTGCTCTCATCTTGCCGTATAAAAAGATTTTTGATATCTTTTATTGCGAAGTTTGAGTTGTAAAAAACTTGGTTTTAGAACGAACCATGCCCTTTACTAAAGATTAAATTGACTTTTCAGTTCTGTTATCAGGGATATGATATATATAATATGGAAGGGGGGGGGGAGGAGGGGGTATGTCTAAAGAACAGAATGCATGTAAGATTAACAATAAAGTATGCCCACTGCCCAGTATGTGGTAAGAGTGCAATCTCTAAATATTACTATAGTAAAAAAAACGTCAAGATTTTGTATAGAAGAGAAATTTTCGGCTTCAAATAGATTTCAATCCAACATTTTTTTTACAATTTGAATTTTTTAATTAATACTGCGCGCGTAATAAGCGTAATTTCTGACCATACAAAGATGGCAATGCCTGTTTCACAACGGTACCCTTTAAACCTTTATCTGATCAATAATGTGTAAGATATTGTTGTTTAGTGAGGTGTTTACTTCGGATAATTCCAATACGTTATGCTGCAGTAGAAATGCGCAAGTCACTTTTGTAGAGAAACCGTAATTGATAATAATCAGTTTTTTAAATATTAAAATCTATTTCATACTTGATCAGACGAAGCTTTTACGGGTACCATTGTGCATCGGGCATTGTCATCTTCGATTTAGATGCTGTCCGTTGATCCATGTTGACTCTGTGATGGGTGTGGATATAAAGGTAGCAATGGTGATTTCTCTCACAGTCATCATTCTTTGCTTCATCCTAGGGGTAAGTTGAAAACAGTCCCATTAGCTGATTCATTCAATAAAATACTGTCTGGAATCCTTACTTTTTTCCATAGATTATAGATAGGAGGGGGGGGGGGGGGCAGTAAACCTCTCTTTACCTTTTTTTAATGACTTTTTTGTTAATATTTGTAACTGAGTTTTTACTACACGCTCTGATTTTCTAATACCGACATATATCTTCAGCAACAAAATGTCGAAGACCCCGCCTAGCAAATATTTTATTTTTAATCTATGAATTAGCTAAGACCAAATAATCTGAGTTTGAAATATAAATAAAAGCATGCCCGATTCGACATAATTGATTCTGATAGCATTTACAATTGTTTATGAAGTAAATATCGACGGAACTGAGGGTTACCTTAAATTCTGATTACAGTCTTTTCAAGGAAGTCCACCTGTTGCTTTAATTATTCGAGAACGTTCTCTTTCAGCTAAAAAAATATTTGTTTTAGATTACAATAATAGTTTGTTTTAAATTACAATAATAGTTTGTTTTAGATTACAATAATAGTTTGTTTTAGATTCCAATATTAGTTTGTTTTAGATTACAATAATAGTTTGACTTAGATTACAATATTAGTTTGTTTAAGATTACAATAATAGTTTGTGTTAGATTACAATATTAGTTTGTTTTAGATTACAATAATAGTTTGTTTTAGATTACAATAATAGTTTGACTTAGATTACAATAGTTTGACTTAGATTACAATATTAGTTTGTTTTAGATTACAATTATAGTTTGACTTAGATTACAATATTAGTTTGTTTTAGATTACAATAATAGTCTGTTGCTTCTGGTCTCCCTGTCCTATGTATGATACCTGTGGTGGTGGATATAAAAGGTAGTTTTTTTCGAAATATTTACTTTTTATTTTGTCACGATTTTCCTACTTATACAGAGGTTGGCATTTATATGAAGACGACTTTTTATTATAAGTTTTAATTTCTGGCTTTTTTCAAATTCAAATTACAAGCAAGCAAAAAGAAGCAGTTAATAGACAGCTTCTTTTCTTTCTATGTTTTTGTATATCCATTAGGGGTGATCAATATTAGAATTACGCCAAGGACCCGCCGAAGGTGGCTGCATTTTCACTTTAAAAAGATATTGCAATCAAAAAAAGTTCAAAATCGTCTATAAGGTTGCGATTTGACGATTTAATATCAAAGAATTCACCGTTCGGCCATGATTTTAATTTTTTATTTTCATTCTATACATCATTTTCATGGAAATTTAATGCTGAATTCAAATCTGAAAAGCGTTTTAAAAAAAAATTGAAAATTGAGTGAGTTTAAGAGTACAGCATATATATATAACAGCTGCCTAAATGATGATAGCAAAATAAAAGTTTGATATTTTAAAAGATTTAACTTTTTCTAGGAAGAATTTAAATTTTGAATGAACAAAGGTCTACGAGATGGATCTGATTCCAAGGATATAAATTAGAATTTAAAGGGAGTGTTCGCGAAAAATGAAAGGGGGTATAGGCTTAATGCGATAAAAAAGCGCTTTTGATCGCTACTAATCTTTCTTCTATCTGTTGCGTCTATAATGAGAAAATTGTTAAAAACGTCTCATACCGAAGAAAGTGGATTCCTTACAAATTCAGAAACATTAATTCCTGATTCGAGGATTTCGAATATGAAGACGACATTTTCCATATTTTCCGGGAATGCGCCAGTCGTGGAAACAAGTTGTAAGCGAAATATTAATTTTAAAAAACACAATATAAGAAATATTATAAAATAACAACTATATACAAATGCGTCGAAAAATTTTAAGGAATTAATATCTAAATTATTTGTTTGATATTAATTGGATTCTTTTACGATCCAAGTCGTATGTTCCAACTTCCTCAATTTGTATAAAAGCTTCGTTCTTCGGTATGAGACGTTTTTAGCAATTTTCTCCTTATTGACGCAACAGATAGAAGTAAGATTAGTAGCGATCAAAAGTGCTTTTTTTATCGCATTAAGCCTATACCCCCTTTCATTTTTCGTGAACTCTCCCTTGTCAATTTGTTTCTTGTGGTTTTAAAAGGTAAAATTTTTATTTGAAAATTTAAATATTTTGTTTTTTTTATTCAGGAAGGAGGGCACTGTCCCTTTTGGTGAATATGACAGTCGAGACACCGATCCATTGACAAGGAAACAAATATGGAAAATATTACGTCAGAAATGACACCATTTAAAGGCCTATCTTGTACAAGTTTTGCTCTCTGTTCGACTATTTTTTTTTATTTGCGATTTCCTCATTTAAATCCTTATTTCGTTTCCCATTTGTACATTTGACAGCCCAAATTTTATTTATTTTTATAATCTTTTTGTTTGTTTATTTTCTTTTCTTTGTCTTATATCCTGTCCTAGCTCCTGTCCTATCTCCTGTCCTTTCTCCTGTCCTAGCTCCTGTCCTTTCTCCTGTCCTAGCTCCTGTCCTAGTTCCTGTCCTTTCTCCCGTCCTATATCCTGTCCTAGCTCCTGTCCTATCTCCTGTCCTATCTCCTGTCCTAGCTCCTGTCCTAGCTCCTCTCCTAGCTCCTGTCCTATCTCCTGTCCTAGTTCCTGTCCTATCTCCTGTCCTATCTCCTGTCCTAGCTCCTGTCCTAGCTCCTGTCCTATCTCCTGTCCTAGTTCCTGTCCTATCTCCTGTCCTAGCTCCTGTTCTATCTCCTGTCCAGCTCCTATTCATATGTTTTGAGTCTAACAAAGCCGTTTTATTCTCTGAAATTAAAATTTTCGAAATTTCAAGTAAAAATTAATAGATTCAACAAAATGAATGATGATTAAAAAGAAAAATATTGCAAAAAAGTATTGACTAAGACTTTGCAAGTTCAACAAAACGTGGTGGTCGAGGGGGGGGAGGGGGGAGTTAAATGGGGAGGATCGGAGGGTCGGTAGGGGGGTGAAAAGCTTTGAATCTGAATGGAATGCATATGTGAAAAGTGCTTACTGTGAACTTTTTTTGTGTTGTAAAATTATTTTGTTGTCAAACGTGCAAGAATGTTTGATAAAAGCAAAACCTGAAGGAAACTGAAAACATAAATTTACAAGCGTAAAATTTTTCTGAAAACTGCGTTATGTCCATATATGACTAAAAAATTGCATGTAAGATATTGCTAAAATTCTTTTCTCAAATTCTAAAAAAATCTTAAAAACTGGAACAACTTTTTTTTGCTAATCCGGAATTTGCAATGATGTTATTTTCCAAATAGAGGGAAGCCCTATATCTGTAAAATATATCTACATATACAAGGAAAGTCTAAAATCTGATTTAAAATTTCAATAATACCCATTTTATATTCTTGCTTGTCTCTGCCAATATCAATATAAATTCAAAACTATACCGATATTACGCAACTTGTGTATAGCTCACGTACAACAAATATCAATCACATTGGAGAGCTTAAATATTTTTATATTTAGTGACACCCAACCTTTCCACAGTTCTGTCTCGTTTTCTATACATAAGCACACAAACAAATGTTCAATACGTCGGAAGAAGGAATTGAGTTTTTGCCACACGCTCAAATATTCGAATCCCTATATCTTTGTAACCTGATGATGCAAGCCTTTGATATTTCAACTCCGATTATTTGATCTAGCATAATTATTAGTTTGAAATATCTAAGGTCTACACATTGGGTTTAAAATATATAGGGATTACAATATAAGAGTTTGTGGTAAAGACTTATCTCCTTTGTTAAAAAAAAGGTTTAAAAGAATATTGCCAACAAATTCACATATTGACATTTTATTGGGATTTAAAAAAAAATACGTGATTTTAGATCCATAGCTCAATGAACAAAAAAATAAAGCGATTTTTTTATCTTATTGAGTTCACCCAACACCATTCAGACCGTCCTGGACCCTACTCTATGCGTCAAAAAATAGATAGGGTTATCAAAACAACGTATTTTCGCTCCGACTACTCTCTACTACACTTTGACTTGATATTAATCAATTCACATTTGTTTTTTCCATTTTCCGATTTTAATTTTATCCATATTCCCAATTTTTTTTTAATTTTATCCATATTCCCAATTTTTTTAAATTTTATTTATGTTCTCAATTTTATTTTATTTTATCCATATTCTCAATTTTATTTTATTTTATCCATATTCTCAATTTTATTTTGTCCATATTTTCAATTTTTAAAATTTTATCCACATTTCCAATTTCTTTTAAATTGTATCCATATTACGAATTTTTTTAATATTTTTTCCATATTCCCAATTTTTTAAAATTTTATCCATATTCTTAATTTCATTTTATTTTATCCATATTCTCAATTTTATTTTAATTTATCCATATTCTCAATTTTATTTTATTTTATCCATATTCTCAATTTTATTTTATTTTATCCATATTCTCAATTTTATTTTGTCCATATTTTCAATTTTAAAATTTTATCCATATTTTCAATTTAGATTAAGTGAGATATTTAGATTATGCTTATTTCTTTTGAATTAGTAAAAAATGGTCAGATTTAAACATTTTAAATGACCAAATCTTCTAAATTATGGTTCAGATGAAGGGGTCAATGATGAATCGTTGTGAGTCGGATATTTCACGCTTTTAATAACGTCCTTAGTGAGGGAGGGGGTGCAGGGCCGCCATGAGCCCCGTTAAATGGTCTCCAAGCCTCTGTTTTCGCAGAGAAGTTTTAAAAATGACCAAGATCTACCCCTAAACGTTAGAATAGATATTATAGAAGTAATAAATAACATTTTTTCAAAGAAAATAATTAATCTTTAAATAGTTTGCACTGCTTTCTTGAATATCCAAAAAGCGTTGCATATAAACTCTTTAAATATAAAATATTTTTATACATTACTTCTATAATATCTATTCTAAAGGTTAGGGGTAACCCCAGGTCATTTTAATTACTCATTTGCGAATCAAGAGTGTTTGGGAAAATTTCACGGGGCTAATTTCGTCCCTGCACCCCCTTCCTACCTCCGTTCTTTTAATAATCTATCGCTTCAGCAAAATTTGTTTCCGAAATGTGTTTGATCATGTGTTGTGAAATTGAAATTAATTTAAATAAAATATTTATTATAATGTACTTCTTAATTACAAATTATAGGATAATTACTTAATTTCAGAACGAGTACAGGGTGTCCCAATAAACATTATTCTGAATTTACAGTTCAAACCCTTTTCCCCTGGATTGTATCCCATGAATGCAACAACAATGAAAACGTTTCCACAACAGTTATCATTATGAACAATTACCGAGCCTTTTTATTGAATACTTAACTGCACGTTATAAGAGAAATTTAAATTTTTCACAGAATTGAAACCAAACCAAACTGTTTATTATAAATTATGAAATCTAATCAGTGCGAAACCCTTCGAATTTTAAACAAAACATGTTTATGGATTATGCCAAAAAAATATACCACAAAAAATATAGAAGGACATGTAGTCGAAGCGCTAACTCCCTTTATAGCGCAATACTCAAAAATGTACAATATTTTTGCATTTTAAACGCCGATCTCATTTAAATAGAATCTCTCCACTCTGTTAAATTACATTTCCTAATTTTAAACCAATATAATGAGTCTGCATGTAGCGCGCAAACTTTTATAATTTTTCAAAACTTGAAGCACAATCTAAAAATGTCCAAAACGCAGAAAATTTGAAAGAAACTTAAAAAACAATGCCGCCTTAAACAGTCCGCACTTCTTTCTGTGATTTGTAAAGGAAAAGTGGAGGCTTAGTGAATTATTTCGTGGATTTTTATTTTATTCATTATAACGTGTACAATCTGTAGTATGTTTTTCGAAGATTTATTGCTTAGATATTTGTACTTTGTGGATTCTACGCTGTTACAGAGTGTAAAATGCAAAGATAATACATATATAGATACGCTGGCAGGTAGAAATTTGAGTTCTTGAGAAAAAGTGCAATCAGCACCATCTCTGTCGTACGCATGGCATTTTATCCTCTGGATTGTTGCTAATTTATCACCTTGTTTATGCGTGATAACACTAAATGCGTACTATAGTATCAACAATGTATACTGCATATTGTACTTAATGAAACAAAACTGCCTTCCGTGTAAATATATCTTTGATATCATCATTTATAATTATATAATATGTATCGTTTCTATGAAAATATAGATATTTTTTAAGAAACGTTTCCATCTCTATTTTTCACCCAATGAAGCTTACACCACAGTATTAAGAGAAAACGTCTGATGAGTCCACTTAAGAAAATTACATAAATAATTTATTGATACTTGTTATATGGAAGTGTGCATATGATTGGATAGTTAACATAGTTAAAAAGGGTATCTATACTTTTTCAAAAGGGGTTTTTAAGGGATGGAGGCACAATGTTGCCAAAGGGGGGCACAATATTTTTTTTTTGCGCGCTGACGCGCACAAAAAGTGCCCCCTTACACAAATGTTCAAATATGCCCCTCTGTACCAGAGATAAGAGAATATTGAGATCTATTGAAACCTATGATGCGATATTTTCCACAGCATGTTTTATTGTGAACAAGTTACTAGTACACGACCAATCAGCAGACATCTGTATTCAGGGATATTTCAGGATCCTTTGGAAAAGAAATACAAAATCTTAGACTCAATTCAAAGATGTTTTCTTTCATGTTGAAAATTGGAGTATTTCTTTAAAAGTTGTAAATCTTAACCCCTGAATGGGCATTATATGCAACAAGTGACCGATAGATGGCAGTCGACAAAACTTTCATGAAGAAGAAAGATGAAAAATTAAAATAAGGAAACGAAAAAAGAAGGAAAGAAGGAAAAAAAGGAGAAAATTGGCTTGAAATCTAAATTGTGTTACCTATAATATGTGTAAAAGGGAGAAAATTGGCTTGAAATCTAAATTGTGTTTATACCTATGAAATGTGTAAAAGGTAGAAAATTGGCTTAAAATATAAATTATGTTACCAATATTATGTGTAAAAGGGAGAAAATTGGCCTGAAATTTAAATTGTGTTACCAATATTATGTGCGAGGGAATATTTTTTCTTCAAATTAAAGAAATCTTTAATTTCTGAAATAATTTTTTGGGAAATTTTAATTTCTATCCTGTCTTGTGAAATGATAAGGAATAGGGTTAAAAATACCAAAATTATCTGAATCTAAACAAAATTCTTCATATCTCTAGTAATATTGAAGGCAAAAAAGGTGGACCACATTATGGAAATACCAGGACTACTAACTACTAAATTATAATGGAAGAGGGACTAAACATAGATAAATAAAACATAGAATAAACATAGATAGCTTATGAACGCAAAATCCCCACGAATGTACAGTCCGCGAACTCATATTTCCAGGGGTAAAAGTGTACTTCAATGATAAGCGGGGTGGATTGGTGTTTCAATGGATTTTATTATTATTAAACCACTCAGGAGTGAATTTTATTTTGATAATATCATATTGACGAGAACTGAAGAAGGACATGAGAAGGACTAAAATAACATAAATTTCTCTTTACAGAACTCATGTACACCACAAGTACTCAATGACATAAGAACAGCCAATGTTCAAAACCGACCTAGTTAATCTATATTTTAGGAAAATCTTGAAAGCATCTCTGTACATTTATATCTTTCAAGATGAAAAATGTCGTCTTATGCGCAATCTATTTTTATCTATGGGACTAAAACAAAAAATCATTTACAAAGACGATATGAAAATCTTCTCTCGACTCCCTGTACAGCAAACCTTTAATATTTCAAACTTCTGCTTCTGGATATAGCAGTGTATACAGGTTTTAAACATCTATATGACGTCAGGTTGCAAAGATAACGGGAGTAATAAATTCGAGTTTGTGTAAGTTCTCTTCAAGCTACTATCTTCTCATGTGTACTTTTCTATCTTCCTTTCAATAGTACATCCTTGATGAGAATAAAACCGGATTTTTATGCTAACTCTGCAACATGAGGGAGGGATGGTAAGTGACCGGCCGCACCACTTTTCGTCCGAGCCACCTTTGAATGGTTTATTTTTTGCAAAATATCTTTTTAAATTATTGAATTCTTTAAAATTAAAATCAAAAAAGTAATTTTTGTGTATGAAGAAAAATAGTTATAGTTGATTAAAAGTTGTCATGTTCACACCTCTCAAAAAGTTGCATGATCCATGCCGATAAAACACGAATTTTATTTGCATTCAGTCGTACTGTCCAGTCCGGCTACATATTCAAAGTCTTGAATGCTGCAGTTATTCATAAAAATTTCAACTATTTTGTGAATTTTATTGGAAACCATAAAATCGGTGTACCCGCGTGGTTGGTTTCTTGGGAAAATTTACAGGCATATATATATTTATTTATTTAATTTTAGATCGTAAAATAAAGTTTCAATGTAGGCATCTCAACGAATGCAGTTTTTGAGGTGGATCGGAAATTGAGAAAAATGTGGCTCGGACAAAGAATTTTTGTGGCTTGCCTTCCAGGCCTCGCAGCACTGAGATAAAGAATTAAAACCTCTCTCAGTTTAGCCTTTTTGTCCACAAACAGAGAAAGGCCCTTTCCAGAAAAACAATCTTACTAAATAAATGAAATGCTCCGATAAAAATGAAAATTTTCAAAAAAGTTTCAAGTGACCCTACATTTAAAGCAGTCATTTACAATGGTACCATTAAAAAAGTGATCAACGATGTGAAAAATATAGTCGTTATTCTAGCTTAGTGCTAACTCTCACCATTTCTTCCATTGATTCTGTAGCAAGAAATTTAGAGGTCACTGCAATATAAAGAAACCATAATTGAAAATTATAAATTAGGAAAGAATGAAGAGAATTGTTGAATATCTCATTCATTTGTAAACTTATAAAGATTTACTAAGGGAATCGTATCATCCCAATCAAGAAATGGAAGGCCACTAGAAATCACGTATTTTCTACTGGTAAATTGCTCACAATCACATTGACATAAATATCATCCATTTTCTTAGTTTTCAACACGTTTTTATCAAGTTATATGTCAATATTAGAAGCATAGATGGGAATAAAATTAACAGCTTTCTCATCTTTTCGGGGACGGATGTGCATGATATACTTTCTCTGAGAAAAGATTCACAGGATCCCTTTTATTAAAGAGCTTTTGTAATATAAAGAGTATGCATTGGGTTTATACGCAAAACTATACGCCTCAGTTGGGTTCAATAAGAAGCCAAAGAATGTTGTCTTTTCTATAATTTAAAAAGATTTTAGGACTTTTTAAGCATTTCCATCACCAAAAACTTGCGTTTTTTACTTAATGTGCCGTTAGAAATGCATAACTTTATAATCTTTTTAGATAAACTTTATCTTAGAACAGACTGCAATGTAATTGGTTTAAAACATTTGGCCACTTAAACCAAGGTTTTTTCGGGCTTTGCTCACGTTATTGGCCTATAATTCTGCTTTAGACTATAGCAAAACTATACTTAATGACATTCTAACAAATTTTGTTTCAAAATATGCGGTATTTTTCATACAAATGAGATGCGTAACAAAATCACAATTTTAGCTTTATTTTAACAGGAGAGGATCCTATCCTATAACCGGGTAAAACAAATTTATAAGTTTATAACCGTGTCGTTATTTTCCCACCATTTTTAGCAATNATACCGTGTCGTTATTTTCCCGCCATATCTTGCACCTACAATGATTAATTTATTTGATAACTAGAGTTTTAACGTTGATTGTTTGAATTTAAAACCAATACTGCAGCCAATGACGTCATACAAAAGTGTACAGAGCGTTCACACTATTCGGATTAATTCCTAATGCCCTTTTCTACTCTACCGTCTTTGCCTTTTATCATATTAAGCTAATTCCTACATTGTAATAACGCCGTAGCATATCCTGTATCGGAATATATTGAGGCAATATGTGAACTTTAAATCAGAACTCCGTCTAATTTAAAAAAGTGGTTTGGACATTTTTCAAAAGTATGTCTTCAGTAAGAAGAATATAATCATATCGTCAAAATGCAAAACCTTGAGGGGCATTCACATAGATTCAGACTACTTGTGTATACTTGAAAGTGTAAAATTCCGTGGCCTTTTTTTACCTCGCTGACTTTTTTGTGGTCCTAGTTTTAGTTTTAGTTTTAAGAAATTATTGCCAAATTTCTTGACTATTTTTGCTTGCAACTTTTGGATCCCTGTGTTCACTTTATTTACTATTTGGTTGGGACAACAAGTGGTCAGCCAGTACAAAAAAGTATATCTCACAGACGATTTTTGATATGGCACAGAAAAAAAATGAAGTTGTCATGCAACTTAACCCAGTTATTAGGTAGGAACATATACAATGTCGTCTTGACAATTTTTCAATGGGTTTTATGCTATTATACCGAAATTTCAGTAATTGTAAAATATGAAAATGCTGTTCAATATGCGCGGCGGGAGTAGTTTAAAAAAGCTCCAAAACATTGTTCATTTAAAAAACTAAATATGTGAATCGTTTCTGTATCAGTAGGTTTCTGTATCAGCAGGTTTCTGTATCAGTAGGTTTCTGTATCAGTAGGTTTCTGTATCAGCAGGTTTCTGTATCAGTAGGTTTCTGTATCAGTAGGTTTCTGTATCAGCAGGTTTCTGTATCAGTAGGTTTCTGTATCAGTAGGTTTCTGTATCAGCAGGTTTCTGTATCAGTAGGTTTCTGTATCAGTAGGTTTAGAAAACGACATTTTATAAATTCTTTGTGTTGTCTCCTCAGTTTTGGGTTAAATTGTATTAAAATGTTATAAATTGAAAATATAAATCATTTTATGTTTAAGATAGAAAATAAAATATACCACTGTTCATATAGTTCCAGTGTAGTCTATCTTATTTAGAAAACGTAGTGCCCACGCTGCGGGGTATCGATGGGAAGATTTCACAGTGATATAAAATGGAGACAAGCGAAGGATTTAAATGTCATGTGTGCAGCCAACCTATGCCAGCTTTCCACAGGCATTATGGCGGGATAGTCTGCTTTTCTTGTAGATCATTTTTCAGGTAAAAAAAAATTTTAACCCTGTAATACATGTCAAATATATTTTTTTTTATTTTTTCAATTATTTTGAATTAAACAAATCTTTATTTAAGTAGAAAATTGCAGATTAGATAACTTAACCCTGATCTTAATGAAATGACATCTCCTCTGCCCAAAATAACCTCTGGCTAGCTATGTCCCGGGGTGGGACAAATATGCAAACAAAGAATGTCAGAATTTTTAAAAACTAAGTTTGTATAAGAGAAAAACTAAAAAAGTTCAAATTCAGAAATTGTTGTCATAAGCTATCCAAAGAGCTATAAAATATAATAATCCAATGGCATTGTCTAAAACAATATGTAGTGACTATAACATTAGGAATAGGGTTAAAACATACAAAAGTAATCTTATACTAAAATCAACATGAAACTATTTCTTATACTTTATTATTATTCAAAGATAAGATTGTGCACATTAAGTACAAGTAAATAAAAATCTGCTTTGCTCACAATATGATTTTATAATAATCCATAATAAGGGGAAAAAAATTCTGGATTTAAAGTTTTAGAGTTGTCAAACATTTTCCATTCTTCAAAATGCAAAACTGAACCTTTTAAACATCCTTTTGAAAAATGAAAGAGATCTGTTTTTACACATTCAAAGTTTTTTTGGGCGTTAAATGTGCTCTTAAAGAATCTGTTTAACTCACAGCAAAATCCGATTTTCTAAAAGTTTACTTTGATTACATTAAGCAAATTGTTAGTATCTAAACGATTTTACCAATTGTTTTGAAACATCGTTTTGGTTGATATCTCTGAGCATAGTGAAACTGTTGCAGAAAGTTATAATTAATAAAACTTATAATATTGAATACGGTTAAACAGCTCAGTTTCCTAAAAACCCGATAACTTTGGAGGTTTGAAAACAGACCTCACAACTGTGAATTTGAGATAAAACCTTTTATGAAACTATAGTGTACTTTATCATTATTACTCACTTCATAGTGAAGTTCATAATAAACGTGCTATAAAGTAATCATCGTCATATAAAGTTAAATTAGCTGTACATTATAGCACGGGTGCTATAAAGTTTTGATTGGTTCCCGGATTTTCTCAAAAAAAATTTAGGATACTTTCTAACTATTTTTTTCAATATAAATAAAAATTAAACTGAAAGTAACTTTATTTTGCTTTAATTCAAAGTGTTTTAAAATAATAATAATAATTGAAAATTCTTTCGCCAGACGCTGGACTCAGATTGATCCTAGGCCTTGCAAATATTCAGATCAATGTGATTTCCCTCCAAAACCAGGAACAACTTCATTTCATATAGTTTCCTGTATATATTTTAATGTCTAAAGTTCAAATTGTACCAAGTCTCAAGAATGAAAATTCTAATAAACTGTGAACATTTTAGAAAAAAGGAAAGTTTAATTCTAATTCGAATTAAATAAAGTAAAACACAATGCGCAGTGTATATTATTGTATTTCCCACCCCATATTTTTCTTCCCGCCCCCTTCAACCTTAAAAAGTACATATTACTCCTGAAAGAAAAAGGTCAAATTCAAATATGCAAAAAAATCTGAATTATTTCTACAAAAACCGTTTAGTTGCAAATTGCAACGAATTCTGTTGATAAAGGTTTTTATTATTGTTTGCTTTACTTGGAGTTTTTGGAAGAAAAAGAAAGAGTCCTTAACCCTATCTCTGCTGGGGTACTTGAAAACCAGGATATGCTGGGGGGGGGGTCAATTTGACCCCTCCCATGTTTGATGTCCAAATATGACAAATGATACATCATTGGAAAGCTCTTGTGCTCTACTTTTAGAATCTGCAAAAAAAAATGCAAATTTGCAAAAATTGAATTTTTTATCGCAAAATCCAGTTATATAGTAAAAATGTTTGCAAAAATAAATTTGTCCAAAAAATGAAAAATTATACATTTTTGAAAAGCCCTTGACCATGCCATTTCAAATATACAAAAAATTTTGCAAAATTTTAAATAACCTAATTTTGAATTAAGAAAAACTAAAAATGTGCAAATTTCCTTTGCAAAAAATTTGCAATTTTATTTCGCAAAACTTGTGCAATTCGTTTCCTTATGTCAAAGGCTTTCTAAAAAGCTAAATTTTATCAAAATCTGACAAGTGGAAGTGGGTCAAATCAAAGATTTTGTTTGTTACAGGAAAAAGCAGTCATTCAGGCAGTGTGCCTGAGGACTCAGGCAGTTAGTATCAGAGCCCGGTTTTAGGCCTAAAGGGAGGGCTTTGGGTATGTAGGAAAAGTCAGAAAATTTCAACAGCCTCAGACCAATACTTTTTGAGTTATGTAAAAAAAAACTACAGGGGGGGTCAAATTGACCCCCCCCCCAGCAGGATTAGGGTTAAAGTCCAATTCAAGAATTAATTACTAAAAAACGGGTTAAAGATCTATCTAATTGGCGACCAAGTGGTCGAGGAGGTGGAGTGGGATAATTTTCTGCTTTTTTATCTTTAAAATTCACATGTTTTGTCGTTGTGTTAGGAGAGAAAAAATGCATCAAATGCAGGTAAATTATTTTTAAAAAAATTATTTTTTCATCTAATTTTATTATGATTTCCCCCCCCCCCTTCATTGTCATTGATGTAATCTGATGTGCCTAGACCAGGCCGACAATAAGGTCGTGTCATGCCAAATAATTATATATGGCTGGGTTTGATTGATGTGTATTATATGTAACAAACAACAAACTAAAAATTTCATATATTGAAAATAACAAATAACAAATTTAATAATACAGGGTGTCCCATTAATTATGGAAATTAAGACTTGGAATCTTAGATTTCCCATATCTTCAAAATTGACGGAGATATCTAACATTTAAACAATTTTATTTTTACTTAACAGATTAGTATTTTCAGTAATTTTTAATAGAACAAACCACATTTTGCAATTCCCGAGTTTATACTTTATGTTATGTTTTAACTGATTAATTGGTTTCATGTTATAATGCCGAGCGGAACAAATAGGATGTAGAAGTCGTCACTTAATTCCCATGTTTATTGGGACACTCTGTATTTATTATTCAAGGTATGAGAAATGTTTACAGATTGGAATGGAGAAAAGATTTGTACTCAATGAAAGACAAATAAAGGTATTTTTTACACGTGTTTCTTACACGTGTTTCTTACACGTGTTTCTTACACGTGTTTCTTCAGAAAATCGGAGCAAATTATCTCTGTTTGTCTCTCTGCTTGAACCCTTTGACCAATTTTCCCACAACTTCGATTGATGATAGATAGATAGATAGATAGATATATGTCTTTGACTAAATATTTTAATAAAAAACAATTACAGGTATTGCACAATTGTTATATCTTAATTTAGCCTCTCTAACCATTGCTAGTTGTTTTGAATGAGAGATTCTTTTGCAGCGATAAATAACATGTTAAATTAAAATAAAACAATGTAGATATAAAGGAAAGCAAAGAGTGGTGGAGGAGAAAGAAAAAGAGTAGATAGAGGAAAAGGTATTGAAGAATAGAGAGGAAAAGAAGAAGTAAGGAACGTAAAGGGGGGGGGGATTGACAATCCAGCACACATAGTTTATAAATATTTATGTTTTATTATGTTATACTATAATGGCAGGGGAAAGGGGATAGAATCAAGATTTAGGAAGAATAGCAATTTCGATTTGTACAATGAAAATTACTAGATATATTCTTAAAAAAAACTTTTTTAAAAATTGTTTAAAAACTTTGCTTAGCCTGGTTTAAGAAAGGTCGAGTTTAAGAAACATTTTAGTTTGAAATCAAAGCTTGTTCAAGGAGTTTTTTTGTAACACGATATTAGCTTTGATCTCACTCATTTCCCCATAGAGATCTCCGTCTGCTTTCTCATCGTTCTCTACTCCTTCTAGATCAGGCGCGTACACAGCATTTTCGCCAAGGGGGGGGGGGCCAGATTCACTCGGAGCTCGAAAATTTTGTTAGCCACCCCTGGCTATTTGTTGCCCCCCCCCTGGAGTTGTTTTGCTCAAAAAGTCAATTAACACCATAAAAATACACCAAAAGACTACATTTTCGGGTGTTAGTAACCTTATAGAGTTTGAAAGTATTCCTTTGCTCAAAAAACTAACTTTAACTTTTTAACTTTATAAATTTATCACTTAACTCCATAACAGCTAACTAAATCAATAATCACAGCATCATTAAAAAATTATATTTTCACTAATAAACGAAATTTCTTCTGAAAAGTTTAGATAGAATTTAATCCATCTACATATTCGCCAACTCTTTTAAGCTTCAATTTTCTGGGATTCTTTTATATGTATTACGTAAATGTTACCTAATTTAGTTTATTCCTTATTTAGTTTATTTATAGTTTATGCCCCCCCCCCCCTTGTGTACGCCACTGTTCTAGATATTTCATGCGTTGTTGTTTCTCCTCCGCCTTCTTATCTTGCTCCAGCATTGTTTTCACCTCCTGTATCTTATCTTGTACTTTATATTTTAACTCTTCATTGTCTAGTCTCTGCATTACAAGTTCCAAAAATCTTCTCGTTCCAATCTTTTCTTCTTGAATTCTGAATGTCTCCCCCTGTTGAATGTCTCCCCCCTGTTCCTCTGGTTTTCTTCATATTCGGTATTTTGCTCTTACCAGCTAAAACTGTCTCCTGTTACACTCTTTACACCCTGTCATATATTCATTTTGTACTCTGATTGCAATCTTAACTTGTTGCGGTTTTCTTCTGATACAGTTCCTCTTGCTGTCCTTTCTACGAGGTTATCACTTTATTCTCTTCTCTCAAGATCTTTGCATTTGACTGGGAATCCTTGATTCACGACGCTGCTTCCACTTGTAGTAAATACCGTACTCTTAAAACATCGTCCCAAACTGTATCAGTCCAGGTACAACCCGTCTGCATTCAAATGCTGCACAGGGAAACAAGCGTTTAGCTATCAAACAAGCTATTAATCGAGCTCTAAATGCCAAACATGGGCAGAAGCTTAGCTATCAAACAAGCCCCTACTAAAAATTCATTATCACAAACTGGTTCTGTAAGAATTTAAACACTATGTGTTTCAAATAACAGCACTAATAAGAATGCATAAAATTGTGACATACATATACCATATCAAGTAAAACAGGTTCACCAAGGAGCTCAAAAATCTTGACAACAAGAAGTAGTTGGAGTTATTTAAATATAAAGCAGTAATCAGAGCAGTTTCCTAGTTTTCATCTATATATAAATTTGGCTTGTCTGTCTGTTTGCTTGTCTGGGTGTCTGTTTGTTTGTATCCAATAAACGTCAAAACGGCTGAACCGATCGGGCCCAAATTTTTTGTGGGACATTATGTGACCACAGGGAAGGTTTATGAATGATAAAAAATTGTAAAAAATGTGTTTTACAGGTTTTTAGTTAAAAAAAAAATTAAATTCTTGAAAATCCGCGAATTTTTTTTTTAAAATCCGCAAAATTTTTTTCTTCTTTGTTTTAAAATGTAAACAAAGAGAACATGTTCACAATTTAAATAGAAGATGGGCGCGAAGCACCCTAAAAGCCTAGTATATATTAATTGTTTTGCATTGCTCCTTTTCATTGAACCATGACAAATTGTTTCGAATTGCTCCTGAAACCATGGTTCTATGTTTATTAACCATGAAGAGAAGCAATCCAAAATAATTTAATAAATATGAAAACTGAGAAGCTGATCTGATTATTGCTTTATAGTCACATATATACATAAGGATGTACATATATAGAAATATAGAAATAATTTACATATTTATTTATATTTTATATATTATAGATGCGGTTCAGACGAACTATCAGACAACGCGAAGCTAGAGTGGGTCAGAACAGCAATTCATCTCCTTATCGGCCAAATCCAAATTCACCTAATCATTGGCCAAATAGACCTGATGATGGGTTGAATACACCTGCCAATAGACAAAATATAACCAATAATAGACTGAATACTCCTGATAGTAGGTCAAATACTCCTGAGAACCTGGCAAGTTCACCCAATAATCGGCCAAATACACCTAATAGTTGGCCGAATACACCTAATAGTTGGCCAAATACTCCAAACAATGAGAGAAATACAACTGATGAAGTGTCCATGAGTCAAGATTTGACACTCACAGGTTAACTTTTTTAGAAATTGTTTTGACTTAAAGGGAGTGTTCGCGAAAAATGAGGGGGGGAATAGGCTTAATGCAATAAAAAGGCGCTTTTGATCGCTACCAATCTTACTTCTAGCTGTTGCGTCTATAAGGAGAAAATTGTTAAAAACGACTTATACTGAAGAACGTAGTGTCCATATAAATTCAGAAAGATGCAACAAACGACTTAGACCGTAAAAAAATCTATTAAATTTCAAACAAATCATTCAGATATTACAACCTATAGTCATCGATTATCTTTCGCCACATTTGTATAAGGTTGATTTTTCATAATAAGTTTTAATTGTTATGATCTGAGAGTTACTTATAAAAACTTTTATTCTTGTTTCGAGGATTTTTGGTAATGAAGACGACATTTTAATATTTTCCAGGAATGTTCGAAAACAAGTTGTATGCTAACTATTATTTTTAAAAATAAAATCAAAACATATTAGGAAAAATCAACTGTATACAAATGTGGCGAAAGATAAAGGATGACTATAGGTTGTAATATCTGAATGATTTGTTTGAAATTAAAAAGATTTTTTACGGTCTAAGTCGTTTGTTGCATCTTTCTGAATTTGTATGTACGTTCTTCGGTATTAGTCGTTTTAACAATTTTCTCCTTATAGACGCAACAGCTAGAAGTAAGATAAGTGGCGATCAAAAGCGCTTTTATATCGCATTGAGCTTATACCCCCTTTCATTTTTCGCGAACACTCCCTTTAAAAGCTCTGGGTTGTTATTGCCAGCCTAAATGGCAAAGACTATATTCAATAAGTCAGCAAAATTTCTAGAAGTCTAATTTCCATAGTTAGAAGGATGGCTTTTATAAAGGATGTTTTTCGCACAAATATTAGCAATTTGCATGTGCAACTTACTTACAAATTCTTCTTTTTCGTTGGGACAATCAGCATATGACAAACTCATAAACCACAAATACATTAATATCTGCTGAAATTTCCAGAATTCCAATTTAAATCATTTAGATAATGTACTTTTATCAAGTAGATGAATCCACTGTTGACACTAAAATAGTTTTTTTTTGTTCTTAACTACAATAATTATAAAGAGATAACAGTTTTCCAATTTTATAATTTACAGCTTTTTAAAATTGGGTCTTAAGGTCAGGTTTAAGGAATTAAGGCTCGAGCCGTAGTTTTTAAATCGCGGGCTCAGTGTACAAATTGAAAGCTAATTGGCTGGTTCAATGTCCAATTCTGGTATGGTCTGGCCAATGAGAGCCGAAGAAAATTTTGGCAATTTAATCAATGTTTGCGCTTGCTTCTGCTAAAGCTGTTTTGGGCGTTAAGAGCCGTAAAGCACTGTTTTACTTAAAAACACATTTTGAATCATTATGAAAATAAAGGTATTTTAATCTTAAATTTTTCATCTTAAAGTCCAATTGTATTTTTTAGGAACAACATTGACCACTAGACCCTTAACAGACTTTGTAACCTGTAGAACCTCTAGACCCTCAACTCCCTTCAGACCCTCAACAGTCATCACATTATTACCCTCCGGGTAGAGACGGGCATCGTTTCTTTAACAAACCAAAATTTTTGAATGAACAAAATTTCTCGTAGAAAAGGCTGTCGTTCAGAAAAAAAAAAAACAATGGATGAATGAAATGGATCAGTCAAAGAAATAAAAAAAAATGTTTTTTAAAAAAACAAAATGCATTTTTAAATCGTTCAAACGAACTTGACAAAACTATTGTTTTTTTTAACTGTACTGAATAAACGATTTCTGGCAACAAACATTTTTTTAAACCATTGTTTTTTACTGAATGAATGGATTTTTTGAACAAGTTTTTGGAAAACCTTTCGCTTTTTTGCTGAACAAATGAATTGAACGAACTATTTTAATGAATGGATGATTATACTGAACAAACTATTTTACAGAACAATCGTTCACTGAGAAAACGAACGAAATGGATGGAAAATTAACGATAATTATGATAACAAACAAAAACATTTTTTTAATGACTAAAAACGAATGAAATGGGTCGTTCACGAATAATTAATGAATGAAAGGGAAAAAGTAAAACATGCCCAGGACCGCAACAGCCTCCAGACCATCTGTTATTTGCAGTACCAACATTACGGTTAAAGAGTCAATCCCCACAACTTCAAACATTTCTAAAGGTAAAATAAATATAATATAGATTAAGGCCCATGAATTAATTAATATGGATATATGAAGTAGACATATAACTTTAAGGACTTGTAGTAGACAGGGGGGCAATAACTTCTTTTTCAAACCATTAAAGGATTTTGGATGTTTGATAGGCACCAGAATTATCTGAGAAGGTTTAAACTTTTCCTCAAAGAAAATCTAAAAAAATGAATCGAAAAACGATCAATTTAAATAATCGTTTTTTAAATATATCTTTTTTTGAGGTTAATTTTGACACTGTGTGAGAAAAGCAAATGTTTTTAAAAGTTTTTAAACCTTTCACATATTCTTAGGTCTAAGACCGTTTAAAAAGTTCAAAAAAGTGTTTGAAACACAATATTGCTAATGCCCATCATTAATCGTGTGACTCCTACTTTTCAATAAATTTGACCTGTTTAGTGGAACAAACAATAAAATTTAAGTAGCATATAGGAGGGCAATCTGATTTTTGACAAAATTTTAGCTTCGACGAAAAAAAGACGTAATATATAGGCTAATAGCAGAACAAATGGTTTTTTTCTGGTCTGGTCAATTATTATCTTCATAAAAATACCCTTCAGAAGGAGTACACTTGTCCGTTTACTGTTTAACACTGATTTCAGGATTCATCTCTTATTGGACGATGATATAGATAGATCGATATATGTTACCGCTGATGCAATTTCTATGGTTCTGACTGAACCATGATTATATATCACTTACCAAGTGCCACTAATCTAAATTAAGCCTTAATCAAGGGAAAAACGTGGAGAGAGTAGCTCATTCATTTGGTCAGGTGCCCAAGCATTACCAATGGCACGCAGGGAAACTCAGAAAGTCTTTACAGGTACTTTGATTTGATTTATAATGAAACATAAGCAATATTTTCAGAGTTTTCGGTCGTCTTTGCATTCTTATTATTTATTGGTAGCCCTTTTGTTTTGTTCCTGATATAAACTCATATGTACAATGATCACAATTAAGTACAAATGATTATAAATAAGTACAAAAGATTATAAATGAGTACAAACGATTATTACTGAGTACAAATGATTATAAATGAATGCATTAATAAGTACAAATTGTTTTACAAACAAATGAAAATTAGTACAAATATGTACAGATAAGTGTTATTAAGTATAGATGAGTATCTGTGTAAATGAGTAAAAAATTACCAAAAATAGTAAAAATAAGTAAAAATTTGTACAAATGAGCTAAATAACTTTAAATAAGTATAAACAGATGCAAAGAAAATAGATTAGAGGTGCAATAGGTGGCAACAGAGAAATGGACACTTATGACGTCAGAATACAGCTGTACTGAGAGTGTACAAATTCTACGTTGCCATCTTGTAATAGTATCTATTCTCTTCAATGTATTTTCATTTCATTTTCAAATTAATATCACAACTATAAATTTTCTAAATAATATCACAATTAGAAATTTTCTAAATAATATCACAATTAGAAATTTTCTAAATAATATCACAATTAGAAATTTTATAAATAATATCACAATTAGAAATTTTATAAATAATATCACAATTAGAAATTTTATAAATAATATCACAATTAGAAATTTTCTGAATAATATCACAATTAGAAATTTTTATTGATTGTTTAGAGACAAAAGCGGACAAGCGTTATCATGTTAAACGTCAAATCTTCTTGTAAAAGTAAGAATTTTCAAATATTTTGAATTTGAGTTCATGATAAGCAATCAAAAAAAAACTTGAAGATCGTCTTAGATCTTTGAACAAATTTGCAGCATGCATATCTATGAGTTAATATATAACTTTTCAAGTTTTGTTTTTCAATTGCAATAATAAAATAATTTACCTTTCCTGACATTTTTAAAATATAAAGATCGTCTTAATTATGCTTTCGAAATTACCGTAGATAAAAGAATTTCGTCCAGACTCGAATTTAAATTTCAAAACCCAGTGTTGTCGAAGTCTGCCCGAAACTCTTTATATTTCAATAAATTTCAAACGTATATTAAAAGATAGGTAGACTACAATTTGGAAAATTTGAAATTAATGTCTCTGGATTGTTACCTGTGAAATTAGATTGCCGAAAATTGTTTCTAAGATTAAAGACGACTTTAAAGTTCTATTTTGTAGAACATCCTGTAGTTAACAAAAATAAAAAAACTGACGAATTTAGATTATGAATCTGTTGGAACCCCAGACTGTCTTGAATCAATTGAGTTTGACAAAGAAGTTATGATATCTGTTGATTTTCTTCTGGCATCTCCAGCAGAATCACAAAACTCAGGAAGTTTAGACACAACTGTTGCATTTGAACCTGGACATCCGCAGTCCTCAGAAGATAAAGAGAAGAATTCAGGGAAACAAAAGAGCATAATTTTAGATATTTTAGATAGCTATAATACAGAGCAATAACAATTCTGAAGCTTTCCATCGTAATTTTAGCCAAAAATAACCAAACTGGTTGCATATGCGAAACTTTGAGTCATGCTTGAATTTTAGGTATGCAAAACTTCAGGTGATGTTTATCTTCAAGTAATGCTTAACTTTAAGTAATGCTTAAACTTAAGGAATGCTTAACTTTAAGTAATGCGTACATTTAAGTAATGCGTAAATTTAAGTAATGCGTAAATTTAAGTAATGTGCAAATTTAAGTAATGCGTAAATTTAAGTAATGCGTATATTTAAGTAATGCTTATATTTAAGTAGTGCTTATATTTAAATAATGCTTAACTTTATGTAATGCTTAACTTTAAGTGATGCTGTTTATTACCTTTAATAATAATAGGGGGGCTAAAATTGTCAGAACAAAAGTGTCAGATTGAAAAAGATCAATTTTAACCATAGAGAAAGGAAACGATTTTAACCCTATAAAGGCTGGGAGGGCTGAATCTATGCATACCCTGGGGGGCCTACCACCCCCCCCCTCTCCTAGCAATAGGTCTTAGAGAATAGGGAAAGGGTTGAAATGCATGTCCAAAGCCCAATTTTTTAAGGCCAGCTTATTGAAAAAAAAATTACCGATAGTTTNAAATCAAAAGGTCTCAGAGAATAGGGAAAGGGTTGAAATGCATGTTCAAAGCCCAATTTTTTAAGGCCAGCTTATTGAAAAAAATTACCAATAGTTTTAATAGTTGTTAGGGAGGGTTGAAAAAAAAGCTAAAAAAATGTAAAATATTCTTTTTTCTTTTAAAGAAAGAACCAAACTCAATTATGTTTGAAAATCCAGCTTTCTACAAGTCATTGGCAAATCAACGCTATATGCGATTAACAAAAATCATATCATTAACCAAACCTAATAGTTAAGCCTAAGGAAAAACAGGAAGCAAGATCAGCCCGCGTAAAATAAATAAGTGTTCACTATGATTCACAGGGTTAACCATGCTCAAGTTTTTAAGACAACGGCACAACACAAAACGTTGAGGTATATGAATTTAAATCGATTTTGAGCAAAACAAAATATTAGAAAGAAATGGAAATAGATTTATTGGTATATCGTTTTATTTGTATGCGTGAGCTTGTGCCCACATCCCTTTACCAAAATAAATTATTAAAGTTAAAAAATAATTTTTTCTTTAAAACAAATATCAAAGCGTGACACATAATTCTACATCAATTTTTCAAGGGTTTTTCAAAAATTTAGTTTTTAGATCTGTAGCTTTAGTTACTTAACAAAGTTATGGGCTATTTCAGTTTTTTTTTTTACACAGACCGGACTTTTTACCGCCCTGTACCCTACCCTTAGCATTAAACAAATTTTTTTTACAAAATATCCTTTAAGTTCATATTCATGAAAAGTCACAAAATTTCACAGTGTTAGTGTTAAAAATTAGAGTGCTAGGAGAACAAAAATAGAGGGGAGAGGCCAAACGCCTCCCCCCCCCCACAGCCTTTTTAGGGTTAAGGGGGGGGACTAGATTAAACAAGAAACTCCTGCTTATGTTGAAAAGGTCAATAAAGAATCAGTTTCTACTTTCTATGCGAATAAAATCAAATTCATCCAAAACTGCACTTCCACGGGCCAGAAAGTACAGTCACGATATACTGCCAAATGACCCGAATAACTGAAAACAGAACCGTTTCCTCCTTTTATAAGAATGTTAACCACCTTATTTCATGCAGTTAAAGGGAGTGACCGGCTATGTAAGGTAGTTGAACTGAGTATGCAGTGTTGTGAAAAAATTCTTTAGGATTCATTTGAGACATATAAAACTTTTTAAAGGTCTGTAAATCCTAAGTTTTAGCGAAAAGTCGACGTTTAAAATCGTACTTGTGGGTGAATTATTAAATAACGACGACAAAAAATTCTACAGTAAACTAATCAGAAACAGGTTGAGAAAATAAAAATCAATCTTATTATCAAAAATAAGTAATCTTATCCAATTATTAGCTTCTATTTTTTCATTATTCTAGTTTCTCATTATTCACAAAGATTTTCTGCAGATTTTCTGGAATTTTTATTGAAAAGACGACATTTGAAGAATTTGTAGAAATCTGCAAACAAATTCATAGAAAATAAGAAATTCAATATAAGGGTGAAAATAAAATAATTGATTCTAGAATTGATTTATTGACAAATTTCTTTTGAGAAATATGTTCCTAATCATCTAATTACTTTACTGTATAATTTTTACTTTTATTTTTCTTCGTCGTTATTTGATAATTTAAAAACCCGATTCTGAAAACGTATCCACCCAAATTCATGATTTTGAACGTCGACTATGCACTCAAACTCAGTAATTATACATCGTGGAAAAGTTTTATATGTTTCAAATAAATCCAAAAGAATTTGTCCAAATACCATGCATACTCAGTTTAAGTACATTACATAGCCAGTCTGTCCCTTTAAACGTATGTTGAACTTCCTTATAAATAAACTGCCATTTAAATCGGTTTTGGTTGCTGGAAATACAGTGTAAAAAATGAAACTTTTTTTTTGCAAAACATTTGGCTATTTTGACATTGTTTGAAGATGATATTGCAGTGCTTGATATGATTAAAAACCTGGATCTTAGACTCATAGAAAATGTTCTGATGGAAGAAGAACTGCATTATCTGAGTAAGTATTTTACTGAGGGAAGCAATAAATGCGAGCAATAAAATTACAAGAATATAGCCCAGCTAAAACATGAAATAGATAGAAATTTTGTCCAAAACAGACATCTGGAAAATGTGCTTAAGTTAGAAATAAAACAAAACAATCTTTTGATTAAGGGAGTGACTGGCAATGTTTGATAGTTGAACTAGGATTGCAGAATTACTGAGAAATTTTTTAGGATTCATTTGAGACCTATCAGACGTTTACACGGTCCATTTTTGTTCAGAAATCCTTAAAGATTGTCCATTTTGGGTAGGGTAGGGTTGATTTTACTGGCGCGCAATCCGTAATGGTTGAGCGCAATTTTGAGCAATGGAATTCCGTTTGGAAACCCTAATTTTGGAAGGATGATTTTGAGAATCGGTTTTATTTAAATTATTCAATGACCACCACGAAAAATGTAACAAAAATTCTAAAGTAATTTAATTAGTTGTTTGGGAACAAGCTGAGAATATAAAAATTACCTCTTATCAGTTATTGGTTTCTGTAATGTCTCATTGTTCAAACCCATTTTCTGGAGATTTGTTGGAATTTTTAATAAAAAGACGACATTTGAAGAATTTGAAGAAATCTGCAAACTATTTTATAAAGAATAAAAAAATTCAATATAATGATGAAAAAGCAATAGATTCTAACATTGATCTATTGAGAAAATTTAAATTAAGAAATATGTTCCTAAACAGTAAGTTTGCTGTAGACAATTTGTTACATTTTTCTTCGTCATTTTTGAATAATTTTTACAAAACGAATTCTTAAAATCATCCCTCCAAAATGCAATCTAAGTTCAACTACCATACATTGCCGGTCACTCCCTTTAATAACAAAAGCAAAAACAACAAAAGTTTGCCTTATTTATTTATTTATTTATTATTTATTTAAGTCTGGGTTTCGGACAATTTTTAAAAGAATTAATTTTTATAGTTTTTCACAAAAGAGATTGTTTTTGCTTTAACCTTCTCTGACGCTTTTTGAATAAAAATCATTTCGAATTCACGAACTCGCAAATAGTGAGGAGGAGCCATAACGTTTCTTGACCTATTAAAATACTGTTTAATAAAAGTAAAGTTCCAACTTTTCATAACGATATTCTTACTTTTTAACATTTGACAACTGTTTAATATTTTTATTCTAAGAAAAAGATTATTATAGGTAAAACAAACAAAAAAAGATTTTTGTGAAACCGTTTTAGGTATTATTAATCACTACGAGAAGAATTAGAATAACATTTTGTTTAATATTTAGATGCCAAATCTAGTACTCTTTGGGACAAGTGGACCGGATTTAATATTGGTCATGACATGATGAAGCACTATATTCGTTGGGCCAAGTATGTTTTTTAACCATACAGTGGTAAGCTTATATATTGATTCAATGATGACTACTTTTTTATATCTGCCTTTACTTCGTTACCATTGTATTGATATGAACGCTCACTACTTTCTTTTTTTCCTTTTTGTCTGAATATTTATTTGTCTCTACTGATCAAAATCTTGTTAAAAAGAGAAGCTCTATTAAACATTGTTTCCATTGTGTTGATATGAATGCTCACCACTTTCTTTTTTTCCTTTATGTCGGGATATTTATTTGTCTCTACTAATAAAAATCTTGCTAAAAAGAAAAGCTTTACTAAAAATCGTTTGCATTGTGTTGTGCTCACCACTTTATTTAGGACGTTTTGGGTTCCATTTTCTTTCTAAAATCTTCACTTTTCAAGTATATTAGTATCCTACAGTTATACTCGCACTGGTGCATAAGTAACCTATGTCGACCACATTAATATCTCGAAAAGGAGATGCTTTAGCTGGCGTACTTTTCCGTTTTTATAATCTTGCAGTTGTCATTCGGCGTTTATATCAATACAATTAAGACGACTTTGCTGTTTAAACTTTGATTATAACAAACTTTTTTCAAATTACAAGTTTACAAGGAAACAAAGGTGAGGTGTTAATTGACTGCTTCGCTTTGCTGCCATGTTTATGTGTATCCACACTGTTGGTAGTAATCAAAATGTAAACAGAAAGTCGTCTTCATTAAATTATAAATATACGAAGACGACTATATATGTTTACTATCTATAAATCAAGCCGGTATTGATTTTTTTTTCATTGCGGCAAGACCAAGATTTTTCGTTGGTTTTTACATACCTTGATTTTTACTAAGATATATCGTAAACTTTTATATTAGAGAATTATTCATTTTCACTGTCTGCTTGGTCTTTACTTCAAACATGTATTTAGCAAACAAACGACATGAGATTTTCATTAAGATATGAAATAATAAATTTTAAAAATTGTTTTTTTCTTAATAAATATTATTTTCCTTATGAAATCGAAACATTTATTTCAAAACTTTTTTCACTCCGACTTTTTTAGAGGATATGGTCCATTGAACCCTTTATTTTCAATAGCAGGACTGAAAGTGTATGAGAAGCGTTTAGCAGGTTATTCTTAATTCAGTTAAATATTTTTGGGCCCAAATTTAATTGTATTGAGCTGGCCGGTTCAAATTTAAATCGCCCATACAAAATTAAAGATTCGATTTAAATCGGTGATTCAAGATTTGAACCGGCGGTAGGTAGATCAGCGATCTCTCTTAGAATTTTAAATTCGGCCATGGGGAAAACTAATTGAAAATAAAATTAGCAATTTTGACTCCATGAAAAGGTTTACGGGTACAGTTGAGAATCAAGCATGAATTTATAGAATAAGAGAATGATTTCACAATACGTCTACATTTCCTTTAACATATTAGAGAGTTTGAAATTACAACCCCCTTTTTTGAAATATCATTAAAAATCTTATGATAAAAACTTCATTCTCCTTCACCAATTAAAATAAATGAAATAAAGAAGGTGAAATATATTTTCTTCAGCTTTTCTGTTTGAGTTTGATGATACGCTGGAGTTACTGGAACGAGATTATACAACCCTACTCAGGTAGGCAGAAGCCCAAGGGTATTAGGCAAAGAGAATAGAATATATATTAGAGTGCAGGTGTACTTCACATATTTATGCTATATAACCTTTGGGGCCCTGGAACATCATTTTATAGAAAATCTAGAATTAATATTAAAAGAAAACCAAATTATGAAATAGGCTGGTTTCATAATTGACCATTTCACATAGACTCTATGCTTTTCACTTTACAAACGATGATTTTCCGTTATAACTATAAATCAAATGATGTTTTTATTCACCTAATTCATTTTATAAAGTTTATATAACAGCTTCAAAAAATTCAAAATTGAAACGAATAGTCTAGGGAACATACTGTATGAATGTACTCTACTGCATATAATTTGTGAACATTTACATGATATGTACACTTTGAACTCCCTTTCAGGCTGAAAGGGACTGATAAAAAAAACACCTAACCGAAGGATTGTCTAAATTCCCCTCTAATATATATTCTATTCTCTTTGGTATTAGGTGTTTTCCCAATAGAATTTTCTCAAGAGCGACTTTCCACGTGACCAATTCCCAAGCAATTTCCCTAGCAGCAACTTTCCAAAGGTTAGGTCCTCATGAGGCGTCGGAGGCTGCAATGGGGCCGAGCGCTCCGGCTAAGATAGGCTAGGGACCGAGTGCTGCGACAAGGAAAGACTTGGGAATTTGCCGCATGGAAAATTGCACATTTGGTAAGTTGCCCTATGGGAAAATACCCCTGGAAAGTTTAGGTGGAAGATTAATGTATATTGAATGTAAGTAGGTTGAAGATGAATGTATATGGAATGTGTGTCGGCGTAAGATGATTGTATATTGTATGTATGTAAGGGAAAGATTAATGTATATTGAATATATGAAGGTGGAAGATAAATGTATATTGAATGTATGGAGGTGTAAGATGAATGTACATTGAATATATGGAGGTGGAAGATGAATGTATATTGAATGTATGTAGGTGGAAGATGAATGTATATTGAACATATAAAGCTGGAAGATGAATGTATATTGAATGTATGTAGGTGTAAGATGAATGTACATTGAATATATGGAGGTGGAAGATGAATGCATATTGAATGTATGTAGGTGTAAGATGAATGTGCATTGAATATATGGAGGTGGAAGATGAATGTATATTGAATGTATGTAGATGGAAGATGAATGTATATTGAATGTATGTAGGTTTAAGATGAATGTATATTGAATATATGGAGGTGGAAGATGAATGTATATTGAATGTATGTAGGTGTAAGATGAATGTACATTGAATATATGGAGGTGGAATATGAATGTATATTGAATGTATGTAGGTGTAAGATGAATGTATATTGAATGTATTTAGGTGTAAGATGAATGTACATTGAATATATGAAGGTGGAAGATGAATGTATATTAAATGTATGTAGGTGTAAGATGAATGTACATTGAATATATGTAGGTGGAAGATAAATGTACATTGAATATATGGAAGTGGAAGATGAATGTATATTGAATGTATGGAGGTGGAAGATGAATATATATTGTTGAATGTATGGAGGTGTAAGATGAATGTACATTGAATATATGGAGGTGGAAGATGAATGTATATTGTTGAATGTATGGAGGTGGAAGATGAACTTACATTGAATATATGGAGGTGGAAGATGAATGTATATTGAATATATGTAG